AGGAGGCGGCGAGTGGCCCCAACGACTCTTAGAGGCCGGAGGAGAGGCGCGAGCGAGCGAGAGGTTCGAAGGGCGAGCGGCGAGCGGGGGCGCCGGAGGGCGGGGACGCTTAGGGACGACCCCCCTGCCTCCCCCGCACCCCATCTGGGCGCGAGGTGCAGCCTCCTGGGGCTCCCCTTGGTCGTCTACGCCCAGATGAGAATCGAACGCTTGGTCCAGAGATAACAAAAGCGAACCGTCCTCCGAGGCAGACACTTTTAGAACCGCACACAGCCACCTACCCACCCCACTCACCCCGGAGAGCCACAACCGCAAGCACTCACGCGCGCGCACTTCCGCTCCACTCGCACAAACTTCGCCAGCGAAGAGCAATACACGGAATCGCTCCCTCCCCCACGCCCACCCCTCCAGTGTCCTCTGGCCTTTTCTCCAAAACTAGCCACTACCACCCAACCACTCCGCAGAGGACTGTCAGAACAGTTGAAAATGAACGGGACCTAGAAAACAGACCCTTTGTGTGGATTATATTATATATAAAATGCTCCAAGTCCTGCTTGATATCTACTTGCAATGAGACTTTTCCCCCCTAAAAACAAACAAACAAAAAAGGAAACATCAAAAAAGGCTTAAGGTGAGAAATTAAACTGGAAGTCTAGCGACAGTTTCTCTGTATTTCATAACATCTGTATAAATAGGGTTCAAAAGATTGTGTTCTCTTTTTATTTTCTTGTAAATGTTCATTCAAATAGGTTTTTTGGTGAATTCCTGAAATTCAGGGAGTTTTTTTTTAATTTTCTGATGCACTTTGTGAAAGTCAGTATATATGTAAAAGATATTTAAGATGTTGAGTTATCATTTCACTCAAACACGTAAGTTAAGGTCATCTAAAGAAATTAAATGCGTTTATCTGTATGAAGAAAATCTTGACATCATATTTTCATTTTGGTATTATTAAAGGACTCGGAACAATACATTCACCCCCCCTTTTAAAAATCCTGCTCCCCCCTCGATAATATTTATGTGGGGTCGACTTTTTTTTTGATTGGGAAACAATTTCCTTAATGTTAGTTGTAGGTAATGTAAAGTTTATGTGGGTTATAAAAGCCATAATACATATACATTTTTTGAGAAGTCAAAATTATTTATTTGTATATCAACAACGTAAATTAAATTGGGTTATAAGAATGTGTAGTTGTATTACTTAATGGGAGGTCTCTCAAAAGGTGACGTCTTAAATCTTGGACCACCTAAAGAAGGAAAGACCCTTAGCAGCATTAACAAGGAAGGTGTCTACATCTCCCTGAGGGACTAGAAAACTCCGGTTGGGTTTGTTTTTAAGAAGTGATTTTTAAAGCAATCAGTTAAAGAGGAAAAGGCTTAAAAAAAAAAAGTAGTCTTTGAGCTCCCAAGACCCTCTATGTTGGGAGGTGTCTCAAGGGAATAAATCGCTAGAGTCAATACCCCGGAAAAGACATTTCATGCCTAAATGAAAATCTTGTTAAATGTTATTAATTTTGACTTAGAGCACACAGCAGCCCCCTGTGCCTTGTATTCCCTTATTAGGGATTCATGTCTTATCAAATATCTAATTAATCTCCTAGACATCATTTGTTCTGGCCAACTTTATCTCAGCTGGTCCACGGGGAAAACTCCAAATATTCTCTGTGACAAAGCTCCCTTGAAGATCTTTTTAATTGTCTAAATTAACTGCACCAAATTTGCATGTCAAACGGTAAAGGGCAACCTGAGATAAAATGTAAACGTTTTAAAAGCCCCCAAACTAAGCACTTGATTTGATAACTAGGCTTTTTAATGTTATGGAAGACAACTGCTCCTTTCCTTTTCAAAGACGGCTGATCTATGCAAATAGTGAATTGGAAATGCCTGGGTCCCCGCGCCGTCAAATGGCCCTCGCAGGTTATTTGAATATCAGTGGCTCTGCTTCTGAAAAGGTTCAAGGATGCTCTCTGACTTCTTTGTGATTACTCAGTGCGGCGTCTTATTCTGAAGAAAAAAAAACTCAGGAATAATTAAAGGCTGGGATCAGGCCTGGGAACACATTTGGGACAGGAATCTCATTTAGACAGTCTCTTTCAAAATAAGGCACAGTTAAATTGACCAGAAGGCAATTATTGAAATGAAAATTATTTTCACTCTCTTTGTCTTCTGACCACCAACTTAACAGCCCTAGTTTAAAAGGGGGAAAAGGGAGGAGAGGCGAAAGGAAAATTGGTAAACGAGACAATTTCGCAATTTGAAAAAAAATGTTCATTTGGAAAATAAAGTACCTATTTAGAGACTAGAAATACTTCTAAAAGGCTTCCACACACTGGGACATACAAGCAAAGTCAGCACCAACAAGATTTATTATTATTATTACTGTCCTTCTTGGAAACTTGAATGAGGGTTTTGACTGCTAGGAAGGAATATATAAATTATTGCTATTAGCAGTCAACAAAACTCTGCTTTGAAAAGCCAAGTAGCAAAGTAACAAGAAATCTCTTCAGCTGGGCGTTTGGCAGTGTGAGGCTCGGCGGCGTCTGCCCTCTGCTCCTGGCGCTCCAGGCAGCCTCGACTGTCGCATCTTTTCGTCCACTTTCTCTGTCCTTTGGTCACTCCCCCCCCCCAACCTATCCCCACCCCACACTCTCCCTGGGTCCCCCAAGCGTCTTGGATTCGGGTGTGATCTTTGGGGTGGAGGGAGCTGGCAGGGTGCGTTTTCTCCGGTGGTTTGGCGGGTCCAGAGGGCGCTCGGCGTTTGGGGGGCCCGCAGGCTGGCCGCTCGGAGGTGAGGGTGTTGGAGGGGTTCCTGAGGAATGAGGGCGCACGGCCGCCGGGCCCTGGGAGCTTTGTTTCTGATGGATAATAAAGGCAGATCAAAGGGCCTGGCCTCGCAGGTCCCGCTGGCCGCGCGGTTCCCTCCGCAGGCCAGTGATCAAGGCCTGTGTGCGCTGCCTCTGCCCCGCGGGTCAGCCGATGTCCATCACGGCGGCTCCCGGGAGCCGCGGGCGGCCGCCCAGCCCGAGCGCCCGGCCCGAGCGCCGAGAGCGCGCAGCTGATCCGGGAGGGAGCGGGCGGAGAGCAACCTGGGAAAGCAGACCCCAGCTCCACTGCCCCGCTCCTCTCTGCCACCCCTGCACGCCCTGGGGCACCGGGAACCTTGACACCAGCGGCGGTGCGGGCGTCGACAAATTCGAGGCCCCTTGAGCGAGCGAGTGGCACAGTGGGGTCCCCCGCGGAGGTGGGGGCCGTGCCTCCCCAGGGCCACCTCGGGGCCCCGACGGCCTGGGCTTGTCCAGCTCCGGGCCTGGGGGGAGGCGGAGGTCGCGACAGGGCCCCCTGCGGCGGATGAGGGCCGAGACCCGGAGGTCGGGTGGAGCTGCAGGCCGCGGTCTGCGACCCCACGCCTCGCTCCAGCCCGGGTGAGGGGGAAATAAGATTTCGTTTCAGCGGGTTTCTAGGGGTTTCCAGTTCTCAGCTTCTTGGGCCAAGGAGGAACCCATACCAAGTTTTCCTGGGCCTGCAGCCTACCAGCGTCGATCCACCCCTTCCCCCCCCCCAGTCCCCGCTCCCCCAGCGCTTTCCTTCCCCGGCGTGACGTTCCCCACCCCCTCCCTTGGAGTGAACCGGATGCTACCTGGTGAGGAAGAGAGAAAAGAAGGATTCTTTTTTTCTTTCCTCAAGAAGGGAAAACATTATTTTGACGAGATTAGATTGTGCACCTGAATAGCGTGTCTGGACATTCCGTCAAATCGTTGCAAGTCGTGCAAAATTGAATTTCTTTTTATTCAGATGGAAACTTTATTTATTTTAACTCTAATCTTATTTGCATCTATTATCTGTATTCACCAAGGCTCTCTTCCACTACAAAAATGCAGATGAAGTAAATCTCACATAAATCCCGCCCATTTGTGTAATTGGTATACTAAGTGTTTATTTTAAGTGAGAATAATTTAGCTACAAATTTTCTTAAGGAATAACATTCTTAACACATTAAAAAAAACTGAAAACTCTGATTTGCTTTTATGTTTGACAGTAGCTCTTGATTCCTTTAAGAGGAGCGCGGCGAGTGCGGCTCGCTGGCGCCATCTAGAGCTCGGAAACGAGAGGACCGCGCCGTGTGCCGTGAACTTGGCTACTCGCGTGCAGGGACCAGCTTTTTGCCGCGAACTGTAGCAACCCAATGAATCAAGGAAAAAAAGCGAGGTTTTGTGTTCCTGCGGGGGGCACGGACCCCGCTACTAAAGGGTACCGCTTAGCAGCGACTCCCAAGAAAGGGGAAAGTTCTTGGAGCGTGCTAACTGAAAAGTCCAAGCAAAGTAATGCCTCTCTTGGCTCTGGTCTTAGCATTGTTGCATTTAGCATCCTTTTCAAGGAAACGTCAGTCTTCCAATTCCCCGGGATGAGAACGCTGAGTTCTGGAGCCAGTGACGTGACCCTAGCTGTGGGCACGGCAGCCCCATCTACTTCGCCCATGACTAAAGATCCAGTGACTTCTGGCTGGTGGGAGATCCCACTTGCTCTAGCTAGGGATGGCCGAAATGCAGCTGATTAAAACAGGCCACCAAGACTGCGCCACGTCCCCAGACCCCCGTGGATGGGAAGAGAAGGCCAGGGACCAAAGCCTTTGGCCAGCCAGAACCTGGAAACGGCAGCAGCAGCCTTCCGCTTCGCTGCGATCATTCGGGCCGCCAGCCCGGGCCAAGTCGCGCCCAGGGGGCGTCGGGGCGGGCGGAGGCCCGACGGGATAAACAGGGCCCCCAAGAGAGCAGCGGGAAGGCTCTCAGAATCCTCGCCCGGAGCCCTCCGGAAGGGTGGCTCACACTCCCCGAGCAGGCCCACCCCTTTTGTCCTCGCATTTTCCTTTGAAACCCAAATCTAAAATCAGATAACAGTTGGGGGCGTTCGCCAATTTTCTCTCCTCGGTGCCTCGCCCTCCCCCCGCCGCCCCTTTCCCTCCTCTTCCCAGTCCACGACCCCACCCCCATCGCTGTCCTCAGCCCTGGTGCACGGATTCCCTCCCCTCCCCCTCCGCGCAGTTATTGTATTTTAATTTTAAAAGCGACACTTTCCAACCCCGGCGCCCTAGGCGACGAAGGCGCCCTCGTCCGCCTCCGTGGAGAGCCGTGCCGAGGCGCCTGGGCGCGGGGCTCCCCGAACCCACGCCAGGGAAAGGCAGTGCGTTTCCCAGAACTCGCAGCACCTTTGCAGCGGGGACTCGGCTGGGTTTGTATTTGCTGTTTTAACACAAATCCCGCCGCAGTGCCTATTTCAAAGATGTGCTAATTACTACTTGGATAGCAGGGCGCAAAGTCCTTGTCCATTTCCCAGTACAAAGTAGGTTGCTAGAAAATTTGAAATTGCCTTTCAGCCTAAAGCTGCCTTACCTGAATGTCATAATTACAGTAATTATGTACATCCAAATTACATGCTAATTAAATTAGAATCAAATCGTTCTAAATCGAAATCAAATGAGGTAGTGAAGAATTAATCAATGACAACATAAATAGAGAGCTTCCTTCAGAGATATTTATTGTAACGATCCAAGGAGGAATCTGATCTGAAAAAGTCACCTGTTTATTTACTTTCAAATTAGTAATCAGTTATTATCCCTTCTCCACAATTTTACCCGTTCAGCGTTATTTACCCCCCACCCTTTGCAGACGCTGGAGTTTGTGGAAATATGTATGAGGTAAACACATACAGACAAGCCTCTCCCATATATTCTTGATATAAATATATACGTGTGCGTGCCATTTTAGTTAAGGAGCTCTCGAATGTCCGTGGGGACAAATCTGCGGTTCTAAGGGACCAGGGAAAGCTGAGCACCCAAGAGTTTTCCGGCTCGTGACCCCTGCATTGGAAATTCATTCTGGAGATGTTGCATTGCTTTTGCAGGTATTCCAGGGCCATTCATTTAGAAAACAAATGCCAAGTGATTGGGGCGAGTCCCTGGAGACTGCGGGCGAGAGGTGGCATTTGCTCTTCGTCCCCCCCCGCCCCCCCAGGAGCGATTAAATCACCGGCTTGGTGAAACGCCTTCTTCACCTGTGGAGCCCCAGGGAGCAGAGAAGTAGGCTCGCCTTCCTAACCCCGCCGGCGAGTTTCCTCGACCTGCGCCCGCGCGGGGGAAACGCTCCCAAGGCCCGAGAAGCTCGGGCGGGAGGCGGGCGAGGGCCCTCGAGCCTGGCCGAGCGGCCTAGGATTTTCGGCCTGGATTTGGGCCGCCCTCGGCGACGGGCCCCGTGCTGACGGCTAAGCTGGGCGCCCCCCCCCCCGCCCCGCTCCGCCCTGTGGGGGAAGGAGTCGGCCTCCCCGCGATCCAGGAGGGGTGGGGCCCCCAATTCCCAGCCCTGCCAATTCCATTTCCTGGTGCTCCCCGAAGGTTGCCAGCTGGTGCCCAAAGAAGGCGGGCACCGGACAGCGCAGGGTGGCATAGCCCGGGAGGTGGAAGGGGAGCCCCGGGTTTAGGGCGAAGTCCTTGGAAGCCGGGGTCCGTCTGGCATGGGAACCCCAATACCCTGATCTCCATTGCCGGCCCCACTCCCCTCGGGAAGCCCTCAGAGATAAAGAGCCAGGGATCCCCGTGTCCTTCAGCGGGGACAGGCGCCCTGCGCGGCTCGGCTCGCGGGCCTTCTCACTTCCAGCAGCCACTCGCGTTTTGTCCCTGCCATGCTCGGGGGTTCTGGGGTACGAAATGAGCGAGCCTGGGGAGTGGGGAGGAGAAAGGGGAAAGCGGCAAGGATTGTCAGCAGGCTCGTGGGTAAGCTGGAAGCTTGAAGTAGGAACCTGTACCTGCCAACCTTCCCCTTGTCCTTTTTGAGCTAAAAGGCTCCCGAGGCCCGCTGCTGTTGAAGGCCTGTATCTCAAGTGCAAACCATAGCATAGGTTGTTTCCCTAGGAATACAATTAAAATTCTTGAAATATCCTTCAGCTACTAAAGCTAAACATTCAGCTTCCTTCCTGGTCTTAAGCACAGGCTGTGAAGGGGCCTTACTGAGGGGCCTCTACAGCATCTCAGCCCACTGGTCTTTATTTAGGCAAGAAGAGGGAAATGGCTCAGGTGGATTTTAAACTCTTTGGGCTTCAAGGCTAAAGCATACTAAACCTTCCATGATTGAAAACTGGGAAATGCCTGCTCCCAGAAGCAGGGATAGATCTGAATGGAGAAACCAGCAAGAAAGATCTCTTGGAACCGTTCAGATAAAACTGGAAAAACTTTAGGCTGTAGATATATGATTTAAAACAAGATCCATTTCTCACTGCCTCGTGGGAGGGCCTACCACTTGCAGCAACCTGTCTTTTTGACATGAAAAAAGGTGAGGGAAGGAAAAAGGGAAAAAAAGAAGAGAAAGGAAAGAAAGGAAGAAACAGAAACAAAGAAAAGAGAAAAAGAGAAAGAGAAGGAAGGCAGAAAGAAAAAAGAAAGAAAAGGAAAGGAAGAAAGAAAAGGAAAGAAACATTTATTATGGATATTCCTCGAGGAACAAATCCTACTCCAGCATTCTGATCTTTTCTGGTCATTTGTAAATCGACAGCACCTCCTACAGGAATTAATTTGCTAGTGTTATGTTAAATGTTAGGCTAGGGGAAAGGGAGGGGGGTATATACTCAAAATATCCGGTGCCTCTCAGTGCAGTTCCAGACCTGTGGACAGTTAAGATAGGTCAGGTTTCTTTAAAAGAATTTCTCTATTACGGGTAAGAATGACCATTTCACCATACTAGTTTTCTAAAAAGATCGACTTGCTTGGGTTCTTGAATGTTTACTTAGGGATTCTTCTTTGGCTTTTTCTAGTTAGGATTAACCTTCACATATACAACTAGCCTTCTTTTTATTACAAAATTCACCTGTTTGGTTTCTACATTTTAACCGTGAAAGTAGAAGTTCTTATTGAAAAACACTTCTAATTATCACCCTTACCCCAGCATTATGGTATATATCAGTGAGCCTCTTTAATATGGGATTTTTAGGATATTAGAGCTTTTAAAATAGCATTGTATGTTTTTCAATCTTAATAAAGATTTAAAAAACATAAATATATGGCTATTTTTAAAAGCAGACCACACTTCTATGAAAGTCAAATTGATGTATAAGAAATGAGAATATATTTAATTCATTCTTAATTACAGGATATATTTCAACATTTTTCTTCATGAACACTACATTGGTTCAGAAACCCTTTTTAAGGCAGTTAAGTATTGCATAGGTTTTGACATTACAAAAATTATAAAGTCTAAAAAGGTGGAAGGTAGAAAATAATCACTGCAACACTGATGAACTCAAGGTGTAAATTAGCAGTCTTTATCAATTGCAAATGCATGCTTTTTTTTGAAACTGAGAATGGAATGGGATTTTGCAGTGCACTAAGTTTTTAAAGAATACTGTAGAAGGAATTCAAGTTCTCCCACTCTGCTCTTAGCCTATAAAATAAAGAGTTATTTATACCTTTAACTTAGCTTCTTCTAAATTATTGGACAATTGTTTTATGCATATAGAGACAAAACAAAGACAAAGATTATACTACACAGAGTGGTTTTATTTAAATCTTGCACTTATTTACTATCTTACAGAATTCAAGAAACTGAGACTACCAACTATCAAAGCCATCTAATCAATAATTGTCTACAAAATAACATTTTTAAAAAGAACCCTAATAAAAATACCATATGAAATGATGTGAAACTGCATGTTACTTTTCATTTGTACTAATTCTTTTGTTCCTATAGTTTTCCTTCAGTATATCCTTTGCAATACACGGGAAAATCTGCAGCTGAATTTTAAATATGCTTCATATATTCCCTATATATATAATTTATATTTGTGTCATTCTATAGATGCTTCATATTTTTAAAAAATAAAATCTTATAGTGGTAGCAGAAAGGATGTGTGGAAGATAGAAAAATAGATACTCAAAGATGTATAAATCTTCAAGCCCTGGAGTCTGTGAATACAATTACATTATATGAAAAAGGAAAAGTAAGGTTGCGTATCAGTTGACCTTAAAATAGGGAGATTATCTTATATTCTTCAGGAGAGCCTAAAGTAACCTCAAAGATCCTTACTTAACAAGCTGGAAAGGAATGCACAATCAGTGTCGGCATGACTAAAAGTAAGGAACTGACTCCTTTTTGTTAGCTTCCAATCAAATGGAGAAAAGGAGCTAGGAGCCAAGGAATGTGGGCAGTTTTCTAGAAGCTGGAATAGGCAAGCAAGTAAAATTTTCCCTAGTTTCTAGGAGGAACCTCTATTTTAGCCTACTGAGAGCCAAGTCAGAAAGCTAATCTCCAGAACAGGTTTTGTATGACAGCATAGAAAACTAGCAGATAGTTCAACTGTAAATACCTAATTCAGTGGAATAAGACACCTGAGTTTAAAAGGCTTCAAAATATATCAATTCATACATTGTTAATTTCATACTAGTTAATTTCAATTATTATACTTTGCTTCAAGAAAATTTAAATCTTAAATATAAACTGATAATAAAGAAGAAAAGCTTTAACTGTTCAATGTACTGTCACTCTTTTAATGATGTTTTAGAACAAAGAAAATGTCACAGAGTTATATGGGTTTTAAAAAAATCTAGTAGAGGTCACAAGAAACTGTTACCAACAGAAAATATTTCTAAAGCCCACAAATAGACAACTTCAAATATTTGCAAAATTCATTCTTATGGTACTCATATAATCTTTGTACTTGAAATGACAGTTTGCACAGATGAAAAATTAAAAGAGCTTTTTTTTAAAAAATGACAAATACAATAGTCCATACTTCAGCCCTTGCTAGAGATATTTAATAAGAAAATGGGCTATTTTTATTCTCAGGAAATTGTCACGTTTCTCTTTCCTGTCTGTGTCACTTCAGTGTGCTCTCTGTATGTTCTTCCTCTACACACATCTGTGCCATGGCTTTCTTCTGCTTTTCACGGGGACTGGCTATCGCTGGTGCCTTGCCTCCTTTTCCTTAAAACCACCAGGACTTCTGCTGCGGCTCCTCCTCCATCTTCTCTCCTCCCTGCTGCGGCTTCTGATGCTTCCCCCATTTCTTTCAGATCCTCTCTTCTCTGGACTGTGATGCCGGCTTCTGGACTTTTTGTCAGAATCATAATGGCTCCATTTGCTATTCTCCTCAGAACTCTCTTGTTTTAAAAACCTAGGTTTTTCCTTGCTTCTTTCTTTGTTATGACTGCTAGAAAGTTCTTCATGAAGTTTTCTCTTCTTAGATTTGTCCTCTTCAGAGTCATTGGTGCTATTTCCTGTACACTTGTTTTTCTTTTTTTTCTTCTTTTCTATTTGCTTTTCTTTACTGTCACTCTCGCTGCTGCTTTCAGAAGTCTCAGTAGAGGAAGAGGAGGAGGAGAATTTATTTTTATGTTTTTTGTGCTTGCTTCTCGTCTTTTGTAACTTTTTCTTTCTTCTATCCTTCTTCTTCTTCTTCTTTTTCTTTTCAAGTCTATCCAATTTCCTGAAATTGAGGAAAAATAGTAAGAAACTGAAAAATAGTACTATTATTGACAGCCATAAAATTACTAATATCAATAGCCAATATATATTTTAGAGTTTATAACTGAGTAAGAAAATTAAATGTGCCAGGCACTTGTGGCTCACACCTATAATTAATCCTAGTTACTTAGGAGGCTGAGATTTGAGGATTTTCAAAGCCAGTCTGGGAAGGAAAGTCCATGAGACTCATCTCCAATTAAACAGTAGAAAACTAGAAGTGGTAGAGCACTAGCCTTAAACAAAACAGCTTAGGGACAGAGCCCAGGCCCCAATATGAGCCCCATGACAGACACATGCAGGCATGTGTGCGAGCGTGCACACGTGTACGCACACGTGCACACACATACGTGCACACACAGAAAAGAAAATGCGTGAAGCCAACTGTCTGACTATACTCACATCAATGCTCTAAGTAAACGGTTCTTCTAATCTAAAGAAAGCCTATGAACAGTGTGAAGCACTAGAGCCCTGCAAACTCAAATACATAGCTGTAAACAGATAAAACTAATTTTGTGGATATACTGTTTTACATATTAGTCATTACATTATCAAATTCAATATTCTCCAGAAATGCTGAGTAAGGCATACTTTTTGGTATCTTTTTTTGTTAAGTAAAACAAAATAACTGAATACTAGTTTTTGGCAAATATTTAGTTTTATACATTATTAGAACAATTATTAAGGCATCCTGAATTTATAAAGACTGCTTCATAGTCTCAGAGGAGGATCTTGTTCATCTAGTACCAGTGATATATGAGCTACTGTGAAATCTAAGGATACACAAGGGATCTAGCCACTCTTCTAGCTCCACATACTGAAAATACCATGAGCTCCCTCTATTGGATTTGGCACAAATTTCTTGGATTCTTTTTTTTTTTTTTTTGGTCGGGTGTGGGGCTTAAACTCTGGGCCTGGGCATTGTCCAGCCCAGGCCAAGGTTCTTCAGCTCAAGGCTGGCGTTCTACCACTTGAGCCACAGCGCCCCTTCCAGCTTTTTCTGTTTATGTGGTGCTGAGGAATTGAACCCAGGGTCTCATGCATGAGAGGCAAGTACTCTACCACTGAGCCACGTTCCCAGCCCCTGCCTTGGATTCTTTAATCCAGAGGTATCTGTTTAACAAACTTCATATTTACCTTAAAGATCCTTTTATTAGTTCTCATAAAATTTCACAAACTGTGAAAACATACATAGACAAAATATCTCCTCAAAACAAACTATGTACAAAGATATATTCAGATCTATTATGAAAAAGACAAACAAGGGATGAAGTGGGGGATGGGAAGGATGGGAAGGGAAAACAAGGAGGAGGCAACAATGCTTGATAAGAAATGTACTCATTATCTTGCCCATGTAATTGTAACCCCTGTGTACGGTATTTTCACAATTAAAAAAAAAAGGACAAACAAGCCTATTTTTAAGTTGTATGCTCTGAAAAGTACAATGGTTTTGTGTAAGTATCCAATGTTCTAGTCACTTTCATATTACTGAAAAGAACACAGTGAATCACTCCAGCTGAAGAGTTAGTCAATAAAAATGATATATGGTTAAAGCATCTTCATGAGTTCTTAGGACCAGAGTTGAATATGCTACCAAGGTGAAACATAAGAAAAAATAAATCCACTGAATGTATGCTTATAAGATTACCTGAGAAGTTTCTGTTTTTGTTTAGTTGTTAGTGACTTTAAGAATTCCACTTCTGGATCTTCTTCACCCTCACTTGCAACATATTCCTGAGTAACAAAGACATTCATGACTAGATTTTAGAAAAAGATGTTATGAGAAGGACTACATTTGCAAACAAGAAGTTTTGAAGATTAGCATGATACTGTAGTAGGTAACTATGATATTTTGTAGTGGAGAAGGGGAAGGGAATTAAAAAAATTGTAGTCTACATGCGAAGGTAGGTTACAAGTTAACACAGCTGCTTTCCTCATATCAGGAAACCTTTATCAAGAAGACAGAGAAACACAGACGAAAACTTTATAGCACGTTTATTATACTTTATATCTCTCAAATTCAAGTTCTACCTGTTTAAATATTTTAAAGTTAATATAAAAATCAAGATCATATGGGGGCAGGAATATTGCTCAGTGGTAGAGCACTTGCCTAGCCTCACTTATACGCTGGCACCACAGAACAAAACAAAAAACAAAACCCCCAAGATTTGGTAATATTACCAAACCCTGAAGATCTCGTGATCAAAACTGAAGTAAAAAAAAAAAATCCGTAACTCTAGCCTGTATAATTTCAATATCTCTATGACATAGTAGTCCTTTAAATCCAACAGTTTTCTGAATTTGTGAACAGTTTTGCTTTTCATAATTTTGGGGATTTGTTTTAATATAATTTTTCCTATTGGTTTGATTAATGTCACCCAGGGGTGAGTTAGAAAAAAGGATGAACCCATCCCCGCCCCCCAAAAAAAACAACTCCAACAATCTTACCACCAGTTCAGTCAGGTATTTTATGCACATAACCCAAAGGAACCATTTCATTTATTGAAATATAGGTTTATAAACAATTTCTCATTTAGGTTAAAATAATAAAAAGGCAAAATCAAAATATATTTTAGGCATTTTCTTTGCTCTATCTTACTTTCCTATGGATATATGCATATTGGAAAACATTAAGGAGCAATTCACAAGCAATCACATTTAGATTTATAGACATTTTCGGCTTACTGATAAAAAGATCATTACCTGTGATGGATCATTTGCGGTCAAGTTTCTCCCCAGTACATTTCTTTTCAGTGCAAACCCACTGTTTCTCATCTCAGCTATTAGCTCGGAGGGGTGCATCGATGGCCCTGTTCACAAAAAGCACAGTTTGAATGTATCATTTATATCTCTCTACCTTTCTCGGACTCCACAGTAGGAATGCAGTTGAAGCTTTGTTAAGTAAAATCACAGCTAAATCAACTCAATAATCTTCTGCTGAGCAAATAATCAGATATGATTTTCTAAAACAGCAGTGTGGAGATTCAGAATAGAAAATAATTGCATTTTTCTTTATGTGCAAGGGGAGTCTCTTCTTATGTAACTTTGTCATACTGAAAAAGATAACATTTAGATGTTGTCTGGGTAGACATTTTTGTATAAAAATCAAAAGAAAATGATAAAAAAGTACAATTAATCTTTTACTAGTTATTCTCTCAGTAGGAATTCACTTAATCTTTTCCTCAAACACTAATACTGAAAGTATTGCCTCACTTTTGATACTATCAACACCACTCACATATATATGCACATGTTCTCTGGATAACCAAGCACTTTAGTTAATCTCATTTATATATACGCCTAGATTTTCAAATTTCTAGTTACTACTTGGGGGTTGGTGACAGCAATTTTAGGTTGGCTATAGGTATGTACGTTATTTTTCACAAGCTTCTGTTTTCCACTTTTGTGATATTTTAAATTGAAAAATGAGTTTCTTGTTTTTATAATTAGACTAACAAAAGCTTTGAAAAATGTAAAGGTGTGCCACTTTCCTCAAACAGGCTTAAAGAAGTGAGATTTTCCTCTTAATCTATTCCTTCTTATTTTCCCTGTAGGCAGTAAACTAACTGACAATCTCTCATGGCAGCTCTCTAAACTTTCTAGCATTAATCATCTACACTAACTACCTTGGGCAACATATCTGTAATAGCAAAGGGAATAATAGAATTACTATCAATAAAGACTTACTACCAAGGACAACTGAGTATTTGCTCCAGTGTAAAAAATAAGATGGAGGGAAAATTGACTATTACTGAAGTATGGCAAAGTTATATTAAATTCCTATGGATGTAATTTAATGGCCTTTTAATTACTCACTTTGATTGTTGCTAATATTGATAAAATTTTAAATAAAATTTGATTTTAAATATTAATATTAGTTGCCTCTAGCAGAAAAGTATTCATGTAATTAATAGCTTTGAAAGAATAACAATTTGCTTTGGTGGCTTTTCAAATTTCACATGTAGGAACATAGTTTTATAAAGTAGAAAATATACCTTTGGAATTATAACATTTGCTTTTCAACCACTTTATTATATGTCAAATGAATTCGGAAAGGAAACATGCCAAGAATTTGGGAAAAAAATTTCTCTAGTAAAGGGCCAAAAGCTTGACTATTAGGATGAGGGGTTACTGCTAATTTCATTAATTTCCTTTAAGCTGTGAGGGTTTAAACTCTGGGCCTAAGTGCTGTCCTTGTGCTCTTTAGCTCAAGGCTCTACCACTTAGGAAACAGCACCACTTCTGGTGTTCTGTTGGTTAATTGGAGAGAAGAGTCTCATGGACTTTCCTGCCAAGGCTGGCTGTAATCTTTCAGGGAGGCTGAGATAGCAGGATTGAAAATTCAAGGTTGTCCTGGGCTACACAGTGAGCCTGTCCACAAAGCAAAGTGCTGGTTAAGTGCCTGAAAACAATACTCACAAAACCATAATCAATTATCATTTTTACCAGTAGTGATACAATTTTCATGACTATCTGAATAGTTAAGATACAGTCTTCATACCTAAAGAAAAAAATGCTCTTCAAAGTGACAATTTCAAAATCCAACTTTTACATTTTTTGTTTTTTTGGTCCGTCATGGGGCTTGAACTCTGGGCCTGGTTGCTGTCCCGGAACTCTTCAGCTCAAGGCAAGTGCTCTCCACTTGAGACACAGCGCTACTTCAGTTTTTTTGGTGGTTAATTGGAGATAGGAGTCTCACGGACTTTCCTTGCCTGGAATGGCTATGAAACGTGCCCTCAGATCTCAGCCTACTGAGTAGATAAAATTACAGGCGTGAGCCACTGTTGCCCGGCTTCACATATTTTTTTGTATAAAAACTTTCTCCTATCATCAAAAATTCTTGGTTTAACCAGGTGCTGATGGCTCAAACCTGTAATCCTATACTTAGAAGGCTGAGGTCTGAGGATTGTGGTTCAAAGCCAGCCCAGGCAGCAAAGTCCATGAGACTCTATCTCCAATTAACCACCAGAACTGGAAGTGGTGCTGTGGCTCAAGTGGTAGAGCACTAGCTTTGAGCTGAAGAGCTGAGGGACAGCGCCCAGGCCCAGAGTTCAAGCCCCATGACCAATAAAAAAAAAATCTTGGTTTAAAGTTCTGGGTTTAGAAGTGGGAGCACCAATTAAGTGATAGAGAACATGCCTAACAAGCAAGCACAAAGCTCTGAGTTCAAACCTTCATATAGCACTATAATACCAAACAACAACAAAAATAACCTTTTAGAATGACTTTATATTTTCATGTCATTTTGATGTTATGTAGAAACGATTCTAGTTCTTTGAGAACTCCAAATTGATTGATACAAAAATTAAATAGATACGGGGCTGGGAAGATAGCATGCATGAGGCCCTGGGTTTGATTCCTCAGCACCACATAAGCAAAAAAGAAAAAAAAAAGCCGGAAAAAAAATTAAATAGATACACTGATTAAACAGACTATACAACAAAAACACTGAAATGTAGAAGGACTTTTTTTTTTTTGGCCAGTCCTGGGGCTTGAACTTAGAGCCCGGGTACTGTCCCTGAGCTGCTTCTGTTCAAGGCTAGCACTCTACCCCTTGAGCCACAGCACCACTTTCAGCCTTTTCTGTTTACATGGTACTAAGGAATTGACCCCAGGGTTTCAGGCATGTAGGCAAGGCAAGCACTCTACCACTAATCCACACTCTCAGCTCCTAGAAGGGCGTTTTTTTTTTTTTTGGGGGGGGTCCGGTTGTGGGGCCTGAACTCTGGGCCTGGGTGCTGTCCCTCAGCTCTTCAGCTCAAGGCTAGCACTCTACCGCTTGAGCCACAGCGCCACTTCCGGCTTTTTTTTTCCTGCTTATGTGGTGCTGAGGAATCGAACCCAGGGCCTTGAGCATGCAAGGCAAGCGCTCTACCACTGAGCCACCTTCCCAGCCCACAGAAGGGCGTTTTTTATGCATGGTACCTTGATTTAAATTATAACTGAGACTGGATCACAGTAATGTTTCACTTACTCTTAAAGTTACTATGACAGAGTAATTCTAGAGAGTTAAAAAAAAGGGTCTTTGTTCTAAAATGTAGGTTTGTGAGGGCTCCTTTGTAGATACTTTTGAGCCAACTTAGTTAGGTCTGCATAGCATGAGAAACAAGATTGTGGAAGGCCCATTGAAGGAACACTCAACATTACTCTGCACATATTTCTTTCTCTGGTATATGGATGTGTCCAAACATTGATTGTGACTATAGTGTTCAGTTCTAAATCCTAATTAGACATAGACTATCTTCTCCCAAGAAAAAAATCCCATGGAGTAGTATGTTAGGAAAGAGAGAGTTCCTAGAATATGAATTATGCTATACAAAACTATAGCCAGGTGCCACTGGCTCACGCCTGTAATCCTAGTTACTCAGGAGGCTGAGATCTGAGGATCATGGTTCAAAGCCAGCCTGGGCAAGAAAGTCCGTGAGACTCTTATCTCCAATAAACCACCAGAAAAAAACCCAGAAGTGGCACTGTGGCTCAAGTGGCAGAGCTCTCGCCTTGAGCTGAAGAGCTAAAGCTGAGAGACGGCACCCAGGCCCGGAGTTCATGCCCCACAACTGGAAAAAACCCCAAAAAACTGTAAAGGGCTTACTCTACTCACTAGCATCATTTATATAAACAAAAGCAGCATACCACAAATTGTTCTGTAGTAAAACAGGGATTTCATCAGAGGGTAAATTAATATACCTGTGAAGGTTCCAGTTATGAGAAAAGGACATGAAATCGACTCCACAATTGGAGGACAGCAGTCCAGGGCAAACGCCACTTACTACTGTGCTAACAGCAGGTTCACCTGCTGGGTAACAACGTTCCTAGTTTTCTTCCAAGGAAGCAGTACTAGGAGTAGAACCGAGGGCTTGTTAGCCAAGAGATCAATCACTGAGTTAATCCCGAGTCTTTTATATATTTTATTATTTATAATTTATTTTTACCCAGAGTCTTGCTATGTAGCTCAAACCAGCCTTAAAATCACTTAGGAAGTCAATCTCTATTGACTAGGAAGTAGATGAAATTATGATCTTCTTGCCTCAGCTCCTTGAATGCTGGCTCAAAGGAAGTAGCTTTTCTACATTTTTATGGTATTAAGTGAGAGAAGAGGGGATAGTGAGAAGTGGTTTAGTAAGGCTACAGTAGAAATATCCTTTACTCTTTTCCCCAAACACAAAACATTAATTTATAGGATGCTTAAAAAACAAAGAACTCTGCTAGTCCTAATACGAATACTTTTGCTTATGTATATTTGTGCTGCTGGGACCAAACTCAAGGCATCATATATGTTAGGCATGTGCTCTATCACTGAGTATTTTCTTCATCGCTGAGTTTTTTTCTTTAGCTCACATGTATTTTAATTTAACTTTATGCTATGGAATATTTCAAACCTGTATAAATCACACATCTTCAATAATTAAGTATAGTTTACCATTCTTGTTTTATCTACTACTTTCAACTTTGGAAGTATATTTTAAATAGCATCTCAGTTATCACTTTAGTCTAAACCACTAACAAGGACTATTTCTTAAAACTGCAATACTTTTCTAGTATCTATCTCTGAGGATAATCATCTACTATCAACATTTATATTCCTCCAATTGCATCAAAAGTATCTTCTTTATAGTTAGCTTAGATTAGGGTTCAAATGAGCCCCATACATTGTATTTGGTTTACAGATATAAGTTTCTTTCAATACTTACTGCTCCTTTCCTCTGGCTGTTATTCATTTGGTGAAGAAACTGGATAATCTGTCTTGTAAACGCCCCACACACTGGATAGTGATGCCATTTAATATGTCCATCTAGCATCTGTCAATTGG